AATAACAGTCAGCTGAAGTGGCCTGCAGTACTGCACCCTAACCACTGCACCACCTCGGCTCAGGAAGGTAAATGTTTGAGTTAGGGGGCATTATAGAGGTAGTAATAACTGGTCAATTTGGTTGACATCCCCTGATTCAAATACTACATTAGAAAAGCAATAGGGACTTTTCATCTTGTTTTCCCTCACTTCTGTCAGTATTTTTTCCTGGCTGCTAAGTTTCTGAAATCTAGGATAAAAGAGCTGATTTAGGGTAACTAGCTTTTGTTTAGGATTACATAGCTCACTGAGGAATCTGGTAGCAAGGTGTTGAAATTGTTATGGAGGAGAATGGAATAAACCCTCTTTCTTTCCCATATGTATCCTGTCAAATCTAGTGGACAGATTTGATAGTCTGTGCCAGGGCTAAATGGTAGTGAACTATCAATTTTTGTGGCTCAATTGCAACCTAAGTCCCAGATCTTAAATCTACATATCTCTTATTTTATTTTGTAGAGAGCGACCAACAGCAGAGGCCTGCCTGTCCCACTCTTGGCTTAGGCAAGGAGAATTCCTATTGTGGTATAGCCCCGAAGAAAACCCCAGTTCTTCTCCAGCATATGATAATATGAATAAGAGCATAGAAGAGAGAATTAATAACAGGCCCATGTCTAATGGAGCATGCATTGAGCAAGAAGATAAAGAGAATATTCCAGAAGACAGCAGTACAGTCTCCAAACGATTCCGGTTTGATGATTCTTTGCAATATCCTCAAGAACTCCCAACAGACTTAGTATGTTAACAAATGCACTCCTGCAGGTTATCTTGAATTGTATTTATGATTCTAAATTAATCTGGTGGCATGTGGTTTGAGATGATAGCTTGGCCACAACTGCATTTTTGTTATTCTGGGAATGCACTTTCAGTTGATCTTGTTTGGACCCTTCTTTGTGCTGCCATTGCTGGCAATGGGCATGACCCCCTGAGAGACTGGAGTCTTGGCACCTGAAGTGGCTTGTTTTTGGAGGCAAACAGGTAACTGGGTATATTTGCACTTTCTACATTCAAAACATGGCATTTTGGTCTGATCATTGATAAAGTAGGTAAGAGTATTTTTTAAAGTTAGCAATAGAGCCAAGTTCTAAGCCAAAGAGTGATGTGATAATACATACGCATTTGTATTGTAATTGAAACTACATGAACTTGGCAGCGTGAAGAAATGAGTCCTTTTGTTCATTCCTAGAAGAACATTCTCATCCTGTCATTGTTTGTTGAAAAAAGTCAAATTGTTAACAGTATATAGTATAGTCCAGTAAGCCTTTTTTCATGTCTATGTTTTTACTTGGACTAATCACTAAAGTGCTAGGACTGGATTTCTGATTAGCCACCTTTTTTTTTTTTACATGTTTACTCAGAAGGGGGCCTTATTGCCTCATTTATGGGAAAATGAGTTTTCAGTTGTGGATCAGTTCCACATGGAACATACATTGGTGTTCACGTTCATTTTTTTTGTTTGTTATAGAGATAATTTTTGGATTGAATTGAATGCAAACTTTGAAATCTTCAATTTCTTGTTTATATAAATAAGATGGAAGAGATTGAAAATACTTCTGGTGCCAAAAGAAAAATATATACCCTGCATTTTTTCTTTAGGAAGTAATGTTTTTTCCATGCCCAATACCAAGCTATTTGGAGACAATAACCTTGTAATATTATGAATTCAACAAATTAAATATTCTGAGGTTTAAATTTGAAAATAAGATCTTCCAGAAAAATGTACAGGGTCAGGTAATGGTATTAAATTATCTCCTCCCAAATTAAAAATACAATTATTTCTGTGCTATGTAAATTGAAACTGCTTATCTTGTCCAACAAAGATGGTAGTAATAGCACAATCCTATTTCTGTGAACGGAGAAGGAAATCCCAGTTTGTTAATGGATTTTACTTCCAAGGAAGGTGGTACAAAAAAATTGCTAACTGAAATAATGTAATGGCAATACGAATATTTCATTAATATTCATTAGAATAAATAAAGCAAAGAAAAATAGAGAAAACAGAATCAGTCTTTGTGACATTAAGTATCTAATTAATTCAGATGCACATTAATGTCCAGTCCTGAAATGTGCCATGTTAGGGATTAGATTAGGGTTTGCTCTCGGTTTACTAGCCTCATCTCACAAATAACAAGACGAACTGCATCCATAAGGGGTAATGCAGAAAGGAGAAAAAAATGGTGCAATTTCAAGACCAGAGTCTAAAATTAGTACAAAATTTCAATACTGAAAGCCATATTTTCTTCTGATTTTCAGTTAAAAAGCCAATATGCAATGCATGGGTTCCCCTACCCATAGATACATTAATCTAATTTAATTTTTAGAATTGGTACTTTAAGGAAGTCTTTAAAAAAAAGATCATAATACATTAATATATTTTACTAAGAAAGAAAGATAAGTGAAAGAGTATGCCACAATAACAATTATTATAGCACTTTATAAAAAATGTATATGATACAATAAATATTTCTGTTGTGGTTTTTTTTTTTTCAGTTTACATTTCTCACTCTTTCCTTCCAGTCTTAAATCTTTTTTAATGTTTTGAGTACATGAGTAATTTTTGCCTTCAGTTGAGAGAATTTTTGAGATTTTATAAATACTTGTATATGTATGTAAATTTGGGATACGACTTGAATCTGACAGTTCTAAATTTTGAATATATCTAATTTTGTAAGTTTTCCTAGTTAATGCGTACATTTGTATATAATTTTATTGGAATTATAATTGTTCTCTGACTTCTTTTTTTGTGTTCAATATCAATGGGACTTTGTAAGTGGTTACTGGCACAGAGAGAATGAATTTTAAAAGGGTTATTTCTCAACTAGATAAAAAAAAATGATTCCTAAAAAAGAATAATTAAAATTAGGAAAGGGTCAAATCTTAATTCTTGCCAATTTTTAGTGAATATAGGCTCAAAGCTTCATCTAGAAAGCCTCATTATCTGAATTATTTCTCCCCTTCAAAAAAAGTTGTTTGGATTGAAGCCATAGTACAAAAGATATTTTAGATTTATGACATAATCCAGCTAATTTTTCTGTTGGGTGGGATCACTGCCCAAAAATAAATTAGCAAATATGGAGCTTTTTATCTATGACAATTGATTAAATATCAATTTACTTGCTGAACTAATGCCTAACGATAAATATTTTATATCAGATGCTCTAGATATAGTGAAAATTCATTTTAACTGATTTACCGTAATTGCACAGAGGTGATGGATTATTGTTCATGAATGTCTGATAAATTAGAAATGAATGGAATGGAATAAACAGTTGGAAGGAATTTTGGAGGTCTTCTAATCCAACCCCCTGCTCAGACAGGAAACCCTATACCATTTCAGACAAATGGTTGTCCAACCTCTTCTTAAAAACTCCCAATGTTGGAACATTCACAACTTCTGGACGCAAGTTATTCCACTAATTAATTGTCCTAACTGTCAGGAAATTCCTTCTTAGTTCTAGTTTGCTTCTCTCCTTGATTACTTTCCATCCATTGCTTATTTATCTTGCCCTCAGATGCTTTGGAGAATAACTTGACTTCCTCTTCTTTGTGATAGCCCCTGATGTATTGGAATACTGCTATCATGTCTCCCCTAGTACTTTTCATTAAACTAGACACACTCAATTCCAGCAACTTAGCTTCCAGTCCCCTAATCATCTTTGTTGCTTTTCTCTGCACTCTTTCTAGAGTCTCAACATCTTTTTTACATTGCGGCGATCAAAACTGGGTGCAGTATTCCAAGTGCAGTCATACCAAGGCATTATAAAGTGGCATTAACACTTCATGTGATCTTGATTCTATCCCTCTCTTAAATGCAGCCTAGAACTGTGTTGGCTTTGGAAGCTGCAGCACACTGCTGGCTCATATTTAAATGATTGTCCACTAGAATGCCAAGATCCCTCTCACAGTTACTACTATTGAGCAAAGTACCACATATATTGTACCTGTGCATTTGATTTTTCTTGCCTAAATGTAGACCCTTACTTTTTTTAATGATTGAATTTCATTTTGTTAGATAGTACCCAATGTTCAAATCTGTCAAGATTCTTCTATATCTTAAGCCTATCTTCTGGAATGTTGGCTATTCCTGCCAGCTTGTTGTTGTATGCAAATTTGATAAGTTCCCCATCTATCCCCTAATCCAAATCATTGATGAAGATGTTGAGTACTGGGCCTAAAACAGAGCCTTGGGGTACTCCTCTGCATACTCCCCTCCATGTATATGCAGTTCCATTGAGAAGTACACATTGAGTGCGGCTGGTCAGGCAGAATCCATCTGGTGTTGATGCTGTGTAACACACATTTTTCTATCTTTATCAAGTAATAGGTTGTGGTCTACTTTATCAAATCACTTATTGAAGTCCAAGTAAATTATATCTACAGCATTCCTCTGGTCCACTAATTTTGTCACTTTGTCAAAGAATGCAATATGTTTTGTCTGCTGTGATCTGTTTTTGACAAACCCATGTTGGCTTTTGGTTATGATTTTGTTTGCCTCTAAATCAGGGGTGTCAAACTCAAGGCCCGGGGACCGGATCTGGCCCGCATGTGCTTAGATCTGACCCATGGGGACCCCCTGGAAACTGAAAAGGAGTAGCCCACATTGCCTCTGCCAGAGAAAATGGAGCTCTGTTTTCACTGGCAGAGAGTTACAGGAGGCCGTCGCAACCGAAAACAGAGCTCAGGAACCCACTTTCTCTGGCAGAGTGTTTGGACCACCACAGGTGCCCCCGACACGAGTGATGTTGAGCTGGCCATGCCCACCCTGGCCCCCAGAGGTGAAACACCACCCTGATGCGGCCCTCAATGAAATCGAGTTTGACACTCCTGCTTTAGATTTTCACTGATTTGTTGCTTGATTATTTTTTTCAGAATCTTCCCAAGTATTGAGGTCAGGCTGATCCAGGACTGTAGTTTCATGAATCTATTCCCTCCCCCCCCCCAAGTTTTTTTATTTTTTATAAATATATCAAATCAGTGTGTGAACAGTGTGACATCTGGGTGTCATACATTCTAATGCAAATAAAACTAACAAAGTTAATTATTTCCTCCCCTTTTTTGAAGATGGGAACTACATCAGTTCCTTTCCAGTTCTCTGGCAGTTTTCCGGTGCTCCAGGGTGTTTGAAAGATATAGTTCAGTGGTTCTGAGATCATGTCTGTCAGTTTCTTCAGAACCTGGGGATGTAATCCATCTGGTCCTGGTGATTTGAACTTGTCTAGGGTGGACAGGTGATTTCTTTTGCCAATTTTAACTTGTCTTCCTAATCTGTTTTTATGGTGCTGTTTTTGATAGGTTGGACTGTTTTTTTCCCTTTGTTTTTTTCCCTTTGCATTCCCTTTGATACAAAAAACGATCTAAGTAGTTCTGCTTTCTCCCTGTTGCTTGTCACTTTCTTGCCACTTTCTCCCACTAATGAACCAATCATTTCCTTGAACTTTTTTCTTATTTTTTTTACAAGTTTTTACAAATTAACAAGTAGGTCATTATAATGGTATAAAATGCAAAGCAAATGACATTAATTGAACAAGTTGTTCAGAATATAAGTAGTCCTTCATGATGACTACAATTGAGATCAGAATCTCTGTTGAGGAAACCGTCTTTAAGGGAGATACCTTTGCTCAATGACTACAATCCCGTAAACAGCTGTGAGGGTTATGAGGCAGACAGGAGCTTGCTGAAGCTCCCCTCCGTGCACAGAAGGCACATTGGGTTGGAGGAATGAAGCCTGGATCTTTGCAATCCATGCTTCATTTCTTCAGCCCAGTGTAGAAGTTCCCTTTCTTGCATGGAGGGATGGGGAACTCACGAGCTGGGTGTGCATGTGTGTGTACGTGCACACGAACACACATACAGATGAAGAAGAGGAAAAATCCTTTACTTGCATTCTTTACTGCCAGTGTCCTCACTGATTTCTGGGGAAGCTGTCAGAGAAGATAGCAAATGACGATCACATGATTGCAGGGCATTGATGGGGTGGGGAAGGTACAGTGTTTTACAAAGGCTGTTAGGCCCTTTCTGAACTGTCATAACTTTGAACACTTATTAAATGACTGGTCGGACTATCTGTAGGAAGATAGATATGGCTGCCCAAGCCGTGACCCGTCAAAAGTGCGGAGGACAAAATCGCGCTCGACGAAAGCGCGCATGTGACGTCATCACAGCGCGACGAAAAAAATTAAAAATTGAAATAAAATTAAAATTAAAGCAAGCCGATTCACATAAAGGTAAGGGTTAGGTTTAGGTTTAGGGTTAGGTTAAGGGTTAGGGTTAGGTTTAGAGCGTTAGCGTTAGGTTAAGGGTTAGCGTTAGGTTTAGCGTTACGTTAACGGTTAGGTTTAGGGTTAGATTTAGGGTTAGGTTAAGGGTTAGATTTAGGGTTAGGTTTAGGGTTAGGTTTGGGGGGGTTAGGGTAAGGTTTTAGCTTTATTTTTACATTTTTCGATCACAGCGCGATGTTTTCGTCGCGCTGTGATGACGTCAAATGCGCGCTTTCGTCGAGCGCGATTTTGTCCTCCACAATTTTGTGGTGGAACCGCCCAAGCATCTCAATAGGACAATTGGTTGGGAGAATTATTCTTTCATTAGGCTATGTGGCCGAAGGCTATGATAGTAGGCTACCAGTGTCCAAGAAAAAGAGGGGAGAGATAAGGATTCCTCCCTTCATTCACTTCCATGGATGCTTGCACTCTTGGCACTCCTTGGAATTGGTGTCTCACAGTAGCCCTTCCCTGCTTCCCAACCTTGACAAAGTCATTACAAGACTGTTAAGCTTCATTCGCAGCTGTCACCCACAATTTTTCCTTGAACGTCATCTCTTCAAGCTTCTATTCAGCCTCTGTCAGTTGAGCAGTTTGGTAATTGATCAAGTCTATGCATCACCCATTCCAATCAGACTGTTCCTAGATTCCTTGGAATTGATGTCTCACAGTGGCCCTTCCCTTCTTCCCCAATCCTGGCAAAGTCATTACAAGACTGCTATACCTCCTTTGCAACTGTCACACACAATTTTTCCTTGAACATCGTCTCTTCAGGCTTCCAATTCAGCCTGTCAGTTTGCTAATTTATCAAGCCTGCGCATCACCCATTCCAATATAAACTGTTGCTAGATTTCATGCAGGCAAACAACACATCCACCGAATAATAAGATAAGACATCCTCAATTACAGAATTCCTAGGAGCTGACTCTTAGCTGCAGTGGGTTTGTCTCGCTGATGAAGGTGTCCAGTTGGGCGCCTCAGGAAAACTGGGCCACCCTTGAAAATAATTGGCCATGGAGGCATCAAGGCGAAAATGGCAGATATGGCAAGGAATGAGACAATAGATCTGAAGCCTAGAGGCCAAGGAGGAATAGTAATAATATTCCCAATAATCCCAGTAACCCAGTGGGATTTGGTCCATTGCATTCAAGTCTATTTTATTGATAGTTAATAAACCAATATTGTATTGTATTTGCATTTTGTTTCCTTACACAGCTAATATTTCATGAAATAATGCATCAACTGGTCTATCTTTATGTTCCCGATTTCTCTGAAGGAACCCTCATGCCATCAGGAGGGGACGAACAGTTTATACCCTTTGGTTGATGGACGCAGCTACGGGTGACTCCTAATTATATGTATTCATGAAGCTAACAAACTTTGAAGGTGGGGTATCAAAAAGTCCATTTTAAACCTTTAAGCCTTAATACAGCAAGCTGTACCAGTTCAGTTTATTTGTTTGAAATTTCACTCATAATCTTCTTTCACATAAAAATATTAGCATTGAAAATATAAAAAATAGAAGCCTGTTGCTATTGTTTATCTGTGATTTGTTTCATAACAATTGCATTTCATTTTCAAAAAGGTTTTAGAGAACTTCCTTTGAACATCTGGATTATTTTAAACCAGTAGTTAAAATGGAAAGCCGCTTTCATTTTAGAATCTTCATTCCTGGCAACAAATGATGCTGAAGTGTTTTTGAAGCACTTGGGATAATCCCATCTTTGAATTATGACTTCCCTGTTTAGAACAATATTCAGATCTCCTTCTTGTCTCTCTTATTCCTCCAACAGTTAGATCTTAGTCATTTATCTTCAGTCTACAAAATAGAAATAAAACAGCCTTTATTGTGTTCAGGTATACATAAGCAATATGTACTTGTGGTACCTTCAAATGTAATTAGCTAGTTTATGGTTCAATATGTTACTGAATATAGCCTTAGATTAATACTTCTCTTTGTATTTTTAGCCCCAGTTTTACTTCTAATCTCTTAATCAGGAAATCAATTTTTCCTAACAGACTGAGAATGGACAAAACTGAAATTAAAGTAAAAAAAATCTATATACAGGTAGTCGTTAACTTATGATCACAATGGAGCCCAGAATTTAGGTTGCTGAGTGAGCAATTTGTTAAGTGAGTTTTGCCCCATTTTACGACTTTTCATGCCACACTTGTTAAGTGAATCACTGCAGTTATTAAGTTAGTAGCCTGGTTGTTAAGTGAATCTGGCTTCCCAAATTGACTTGGCTCATCAGAATGTTGCAAAAGATGATCACATGACCTTAGGACACTACAACCATCATGAATATGAACCAGTTGCCAAGCATCTAAATTTTGATCACATGATCATGGGGATGCTGGAACTGAACTGTAACTGAAAAACGGTCATAAGTCACTTTATTCAGTGCCATTATAACTCGAACGGTCACTTAAATGAACCGTTGTAGGTCAAGGACTACCTGTATAAGCTTAAAAGAGATATTAGTATGCTCAGAAATACAAAGAAAATCTTGAAGCATGTAAGTGGTGCCTTAGGATGAACTCCCGCTGTATGCTCAGCAGTTACAGAAAGCCACATGCCCGCTGGGGGAGAAAAAAAATGGGATGATGCATAGTATCTTAAAAGGAGGGTAGTTAATCTGCACTTCGTGTTGTGTGAACGCAGCCTCCACAGTTAGTTTATTTTGTGTATTGTCAACCTAATCAGGTTAATTCAGTAAAACATGAGTAAGCGCAGCATAGATTAGTACATTGGGGCTCTAATTGTAGCCATGTATTCTGCCCTGCCCTGTTTTGCTTTCTGCAGATGAAGCTGAAAGGTCACCCTAAACTTCACAGCTATCAAGTAAAAGGCACCTGGGAGATTTGCTTATGTTCTATTCCTAAAGTCAACAATTGTCACAGCTACCGAAAATTAAATAAACAGGCACATAAAATGATACGGTTGAAATACAGAAACTAAAGATCAGAAAATCCAGAGTTGTTTGCTATTCAAAAAGCATGTGGGTGACTTTAAAAAAGAAATCATTCTGGCCTTTCCTAGCTTTCATCACCTTATTTGTTTCCTGTGATTGGGAATACAGTAAATTGTTTTGACGGGATAATGCAGTAACTTTTCAGCATTACTGACTTGGATTGGCTTGACTTGTCAAAACATGCTCCTGGAATCGAGAAACCAGATCTTGGGTCTGCACATTACAAACATCATGGTTTGCCCTAAGTATAGTTGCTTGGAGACCACACATGTTGTTCTGAAAATAACTGACTTTCCTCTGACATTTCAAAGGAAAACTTCCTTAACTTCTTAAGTAATGGACTGGGTGGGTGGGAGTTGATTCACTTTTGCAGTTACAATTATGCATTCCACGATTGTAGCTCTCCCAACTGCATTTCCATACATTCATTCTCAAGGGAATAAGAATTAAAATAAGTGATAAATGTTCCAAATTGGATTCCTGGACTGTTAACTTTTACAGTATTTAAGAGAAAAATATACTCTTGTCTTTGTACTAAAAACAAAATGCTCAGACTACTTTGCAGTGATCTAAAAGAATGTACCTATATAGCTAGCTGGATATTAATTCAATAAAAATTTCATCCAAAACAGTACAGTAGATATAGTAGGTTCCACCACAAAATCGCATTCGACTAAACCGCGCTCGACGAAACCGCGTAGCTGATGTCATCAACAGCGCGACAACAGCACGGAGACAGAAGCACACTGTAAACGCTAAACCTAAAATTAACCCCTAAACCTAACCCCCCTAAACCTAATCCTAAACCTAACCCTAAACCTAATCCTAACCCTTAACCTAACCCTAAAGCTAACCCTAAACCTAACCCTTACCTTAACTTGAATCGGCTTGCTTTCAAAGCGCTATTTAAAGCGCCCTTCTTTCTCCGCGCCCCCTGTTGTCGCCCTGTTGATGACATCAGCGACGCAGTTTAATCGGGCACGGCTTAGTCGAGCGCGGTTTTGTCGTGCCACGGATATAGTAAATACAGGTTATATATAAAAGGTTTAGTGATGATTTAGTTAGATCCTTAAACCAACATGAGATACCATATTTTTCGGAGTATAAAACGCACTTCCCCTCCCTAAAAAGGGTGAAAATTTGGGTGCATCTTATACACTGAATGTAGGACCCCGCCCACCCGCCGGCCCCCACCCTTTGGCCTCTGCCTCCCGGCAATTTACCTCCTTGCAGCAAATGGGGAAAATGGGGCTTGCAGAGGCGGCAATGGCTATGGCAATCCCTGCAGCCTGAAACAGCTGATCATTGGGAGGCCTGTGCTGAAACTGAAGTTGAAAGGGGCTGTTTGCTGCAAGGAGGCAAATTGCTGGGAGGCAGAGGCAGATTTTTTTTTCTTGTGCTAGTCAGGCTAAACTGAAACAGGCTGTTTGCTGCAAAGAGGTAAGTCAATAACTAAATGCCTATAGAATGTTCAAATTATTAGACTTATTTTTTCAAGACTGCTTTATTATTGTTCTAGACAACTTAACAAAATGGAGAAGCTTTTTAAAATAAATGCTTGACTTGAAATGCTATTGTACCTTCTTTTAAAAAGCAGAGAATAACATATACTTCCAGAAAGCCACATCAATTTTAACAGCATCTGTACAAGTATATTCTGATATACACAAACAGTGTATATCATCTGTACTGTTTGTTGTTTATTGCTGTGAGGCAGATTTTTTCCCCTTGTTTTCCTCCCCAAAAGCTAGGTGCGTCTTATACAGGGCGGGGCATAACCTTTTCCTAGGGGGTCACAGCAAGATCGACAGCAGTTTACAACTTCTGCGACACCTCATTTTAAAGCCCATAAAAAACTGAATTGAATGAGCTATTAAATGTTAAATTTGCTTTAAGAATGGCTGGAAAATTCGATTCGGAAGAACAAAGGATCATTGACAGAATAAAATGCATTGCCTTTCGAGAGGCTCGCGATGCTGGAGCCAGATCTCAATTCGCCAGATCTCAATCCGGCAGAGAACATTGGGGCCATAATTAAGGATGAAGTGGAAGCTCTGATGATTCAGGAGCAAGGTCAAAATCGATATTCGGTTGAAACTTTGAGAATGAATTTGGAAACTGTGTTGAAAAATCTGGAAAATCGAACGGAACTGTTTGAAGATTTGTTGTGTTCTTATCCACCTCGTTTGAATGCTGTTCGAAGGGCTAATGGTGGTCATACTGACTATTAAATCGTGTCAATAAACTCAGTTTTTGATGGGCTTTCGAATGGTGTATGAATTATTTGTGTTGTTATTACAAGTGTTGCTGTGACCCCCTAGGAAAAGGTTATGCCCCGCCCTGTACTTCAGAGCATCTTATATTCTGAAAAATATGGTATATTGACTATAGTTCTTTTGTATATTACTCTTTCCCAAATAGGTGCCCTGCAAATTTATGAGAACTATATCTCCCAGAATTTCCAGCTGCTTTGCGGTTGTATTTCTGTAACATTTGTCATGAATACTTCAAACATGAATTGGCATATGGTATATATGAAAGAAACATAACTGAACTGACACAGGAAATTAAAACCACTGCACATAGATCATAAATACACCAAATGCAACTAAAACTTCATTTTGATTAATAGCTCTCAGAAGTTAACTAGATATCTACAGTGTCAAATGCATAGGCTACTTGAAACATACAAAGTAGTGGAATGTTCTTGATATAGCAAATGGTATAAACTGAAATTGAGAATTTGACAGGCTGTGTGATCTTAAAATAAAGATGAATGAGAAACTTGCCATGTTTATCTTTCAACTGCTACATGTACACAAAAATTCAACTAACATTAGAAGTTTGAGTTCGAAGTGTGGGGGGAAAATGCATGACTAAATCCTTGTGTCTTTATGGAGAGAATAATATCTGTGTTTCCATTATGTAGCTTTCCATTTTCTCAGACCTGCTTCAATATTTTATATTTATGACATTTAAGGCTCTTCCCCCCCAAAAAAGAAATTCCACACCAAATCCTACAGCAGCATTCTAAAATAGATACATGTAATAAATACTAATTTCTTGCTTTCCATTTTTTGGGCCAATGTAATCCCATTTCTTTGTGCAGCTAACAGCCAGTAATCCAAATAATAGAAAACTGCTGCATAAAATCTACTTGACGTTTTCAAACTTCTGAACTCAGTAATATTGGCAACAATTACAAGTCCACAAGAAATATTTTGACAAGGCTTTTTTCCGCTTTTATCAGTCAGAAATTTACATACTGAAATAACAGTGCGCCTCAAGTCAACTTTTGAGGTTTCCCCTTAGTTTTTCCTTACAAATATCTGAAACAAAAAAAATGTATGTATCACTTCTTCCAGCTTCTGCTGATTTTATGGTCATTTTTAGGAGACTCAAATCACATAACTCAAAGTGTGCTACAAATTGAATATATTTACTCTTCTGTCATTTTTGCCCTTATTTGCTTTTGAAATCAAACAGTATGCCACTCTGGTCAATGGTGAAAGTACTGGTTCATCATGAAGTCAATAAATCCCAAGCTCTTCAGATCTTTAAGGATAGTAAATATCACTTTGAATTGGACTTAATAAGCAGCCCATGGCGATGAATGGCTGAAAAGATCACCACACTATTCAGAATTCTAATACCAATATAATGCAATCAAAGTTTATGAACAATTATAGAGCATTTTCATATAGAAAACACCTCAATGAGTCAAAACAGAGATAATATATAGGGGGCTATGGACACCCCCCCCCCAAATCAATGCAACTAGCTGTAGCAGCAAAAACCTTCCTGGCAACAGCTACTGCTGAGCAACTCAAGATCATCTCCAGAATTTCCAAATACCACCAGTCTGGTCTTCTAAGAGGAGTTGAACTTCATCCAGAACAGGCCAACATCTTACATACATACCCATCATAGACTTTGTCATCATTGTTGCTATAGCTGCCTTTAATTCATTGGTTTTTATCCAACCCATCACTAGTTCCTAGTTTTTCTATGGCTTGCCTAGAATATGACAGAAAAAAATTGGCACTACAAATGCTGATTTATCTGGGCAACTTTTTCTAGACTTGGAAATTAAGCAGGATTGGTCCTGGTGAGTATTTGGATGGGAATCTTCCAGATAATGAAAACTCCAGAAATAAAAATCTCATCCTGGAAGAAGACAATGATAAACTATTTCCATATTCTTTCCAGTAAAAGATCTTCATGAATTGGCCAAGAGTTGATGAACTCAACTTGAGGAAAATTTTAGATTTACTATTTATACTAGCCAGAGAAAATCTGAGAGACCTGGTTTGCTCTTGGTACTAAACTAGTCTTGGTCTTGATATGATTTTTCTGCCATATGAAATGCTGTTGCCCAGAATTCTACCACATCCGGCTGACTAACACCTAGTATGATTCACAAGATTGCAATGTATGGCTTTCTTTAGGCATATCTTCCAAATGTGCTGGTATTTCCTGCCTCTACTCAACTGCTCCCCGCGCTATTACTTAAGGCAGTTGGACTTTGGAGCCTTTTACCATAAGAGCGATGTGATCTATGAAGATGTCATTCAGCCGGCAAGGACAGGTTTCTGCTTTCTTTAAACAGGCCTCCTTTAGTTTATGGCTTTTTAAAACAGGTTGATGGGAATAAGGCAAATGATATGTTCACCTTTGCTGAAGGTGAACGTATCTGGTCTTGTCAGTACCTGGGTGGGAGGTGATCAGAGAAGAGTAATCCTGAATTACAGAATTGAAGGAAAGTATGACTGGTGTACAATAACTAGAGTACAGCTTTTAGTTTTCTGTTAAGGGAGACTTTTCCAGTCATTTCTATTGCATCTTGTAGGCCTTTGGCTAAGGATTTTGGGTGTGGTTGAAATTGATTTGGTTTATAATGCAACTGTGGGGAACATGCCTATCACAATATAACTATAGAGAGCTTCAGTGTTTACTTACCACTTATATTTCACTTTTCTACCAGGAGCTCAAGGTAGCCTCCCTAACATTCCAACCTCTAATTTTATCCTCATACAAAGGTGAGGTTTAGGTGAGATTTTCTGACCTAGAATTAACTGGTGAGCTTCTGTGGCTGAGGATGGACTTGAATCTGAGTCAACATGCTCCTACTCTTACACCTTAATCACTGTACCACTGTACTAGGCTTTCTTTTCTAGCTTGTTGGTTTCTTCTCAAATCCTGTTGAAGTACTAGTTCCCTTTTCTCATAACTTCTTCTGAATTTGAGCTGCTATCTTCACAGAATCACAGCCTGTTTTGAGTCATAAACACACATACCCATCAATTGTGTTGAAAATGCCAATTTCTTAAAAGAGATGTTGCTACAGTAATAATTTACTTTGGAATGTATTGCAGCTGGGAGAATTGACCAAATCAAGTGTGAAACAATTTTTTTTTTAAAAAACCAACACAAATAGAAGAAAGGGAAGGTGATGATTAATTGGTGCACTACCCTTAGTATTAGGGAAGCAGGCTGTCCCCATATTTTTCTAATAGCAACAGGGCAAGATAAGAGAGGTGGGAAAATCTAGTTTCCTAGATAAGGAATAGGAGAAAAGGCTAAGGTAATCACAAGATGTTTTGGAGGTATGATGGGGGAATCATGGTCATCTGACAAACAGAAAAGAATGACGTAGGTAGAAAAGGGAAAAATGGTCAGAAATAATTGGATTTGCATGGTCTCTGACTCACAGACCAGCCAATCAAGTGTTGTTTGTTTGCTTAATATATAACCATGATTATATACGATCACGTGAACTCCCTGCTGTTTACGTGCCCATAAAACAATGAAACATTCACTAATAAGTTTAATGACATACTTCTTTACTCCCTTCCCTGCTACCCTTAGTATATCCTCCTGACAATATCAAAACTTAAATGCTCCACAGAATAGTTCTATTTTTACTCCCTCTCTGAAGGCCAAGAGGGATATCCAGATTTCTTGGGGCAAGCTGTTTCATAGGAATGGAGCAAAACATGGAAAACAAGCTTTAGAGCAGTGGTTCCCAATCTTTTTTTGCCCATGCCCCACCTAAGCATCTCTAAAATTCTGACCCCCCCCTCCTGACATATAATTCTTACTTTACTCAAAAAATGAACTCATGCAGAGGAAGCCTAAAAGGCCATTAACTTGGTTTAAACAAGGTTCAAACTGCCTCCATTAAAAATCAAATAGCCCCCTTGTGGGGCGTGGGGCGCAAGTTGGGAACCACTGCTTTAGAGAAACCAATCAGTATTTTGAATTGTACTCAGAAATCTGTTGGCGGCACCAATGTAACACCTACAACCGCTATTAATAATTCTTGTCGCTTTCACCCACAAAAGGGTGGTGCTTCATTCTGTTCAGGGGAGCAATCATTTGGTTGGCTTCATCCAAAGGAAGACTTAACTCCCAAAGGAAGACTTAACTATTGAAAAATAGTACTCACAACTCACAACCTTCACTGCTGGATTGAAAAAGTCATCGAGAGGTCCAAAAGAATCAAGATATTCTTACTACTTGAGTCCCAGTTATGGTCATCGTTAGATCCATCAAGACTGTTTCTGTTTCATGTTTAGATCAG